AGAAAAGTAGGATCATTCCAGATACTGAGACCAGAGATCATGTTTTCCCTTGGGACCTCTTACACCTGACATGTATGATTGTGCCCAACATTCTCAACACAGGTTTTATAGACTTGTCCCTTAATGTTGGATATCAGAGATATTATAGAGGTTCTTCTTCATTGGGTGAAAAATTGGGTTAACTGGTTATTTTATTGGAATATGCTTATCCCATATAATAATACCATATAATAACCATAAATGGTTATGGAAATGGTCTAAAGCCCTTTCTAATTGTAAGAGTCTATTAATACTGGCATGTCCCTTTTCTGGGAGAGGGCTGGACTTGCTTTCAGAAGTCACTGTCTGATGGCCATAATTCAAAAATATGAACTAAGTTAAGCATTTATCACTCACAGGAACTGAAGGGGATAGGAGAATGTTAGCGAATGTTGAGCAAAAGGGTTGCTGAGTGAGAGAGAGAACCCAGTAAAGATAAAACAACCTGAATTGCTACATTTCAGTAAAAATTTGCAAAGAAAGTCAAGGCCTGCTATAGAAAAAACATTTTCAGAGGAACTCAAGAATTATGTGGACCCGGGCACTTCAGGAACATAGTTTTCAGGTTTGGCTGAGCTGTTTCTAATATGGAAGCTGAGCTTTAATACCATTTAGAATGTTACACTGATTGTCTCACTACATTCAAACAATATAGCCTAGTGGTTAAGAGTGTGGGCTCTGGGGACAAACCGACCGGAGTCTTTACCTCTAAATAGCTCTGTGACCATGGGCAAGTCAGCTTCCTCAACCTCCAGCTCCCTCATCTGACAAATAGGGCATAATAATAATATATAATTCACAGGGCGATTGTGCAGAGTAAATTTGACAATGCCTGGGACTTTTAGTAAGTACTAAAAACATGGTAAACAACATCATGGCTTGGGAAATCTTTTTTCCCTGAAGTTGGTGATCAGAGCAAAATGAGTTGTGTAGCTCACACTTCTAGTTCAGAGAACTTCCAGGTCTGAGGCCGTCTCTTCCACCCAGATGGCATTACAACTCACTCCCTCCCCATAAAAAAGTGGACTTTAAGTGAGGGGTCTGTTTAGAGAGTGCAATGTTTGTTCATAGAAATGTTTTGGGGGTTTCTTGTCCCAGAGATGAGAGAGAAGAGCCCCATGAGGATTGGAAAGTTGAGGGTATGTATAGGATCAACATCTTGTAGCTCAGTTAGAAATCACATTAGTCACCAGGATGGTTAAATTGTCTTGCAATGACTACAGAGAAGGATAGCTTTGGAGGGTGATGGTGCAGTGGTATGGCCAAGCAGAGAGGGGACAAGTATACCTCCCTTTAGTTCCAGGTTCCTGAAATGTACTGAAAATGGATTCAGCTTCAGAACTGGGGTCTTGGAGCGTGGATGACATTGGAGGGTACAAACTGGCTGCAAACCGGAGCACACTCTGGTGTTTAGGAGAGCTGGCTGGGGTTGGGTGCGAGCTCTCGTCAGCCAGACCAGTAGACCACCCCATCTACCCTGAGGCTGCTGGTGGTGAGCCAGATGGTGGGTGGTGCCGATGGCCAAGAGGAAGGGACAGCAGCCTGTCCTGGGTCTGTCACATAAGATGACATTGCTTCATGTATATGGGGAATTGGGAGGGGGGTTATTGGGGAGAAGACCACCTCCCTTCTGCCACCCTAGCCTCCCAAACCACTGGAGTCTCAAGTCTAAATTGTAGTGATAGGAAGAAAATATCTAAGTCTTTCTAACTGAACTGAGGTTTCTCAAAATGAGAACTTAGTGATGAGCTTTGGAATAGAGTTAAGATGTGGTTAAGGGAAAGGAGACATTAGCAGAACACAATTAGAAAGCAATTACTGGAAAAATAAACCAATCATGCTTATATGTTAAGGACCTTAAATTCCTCATCTAATCAGTTGCAGTTGTTATCTGAAAAGTAATCTTCCTTTTCCTAGCCAGCCTCTTGTTTCTCGTTGTGGGTTTTGTGTTCACATTATCCATTTTGAAAAGATTCGTGTTTATTTTCCCCCCACATAATTCTACTAACAGAACAGAAAGTGCCTAAGATATAAATGGAGACATATGTCCTTGTTTGCTTCCTTGCTACTTTACCACAAAGATTTCCAAGAGTACCTGTTTTAAATAACTTACACATTTCTCTTTTTATAAGTGTCATATAGATCCTTTGTAAACATGTGAACTATAAAAGTCATCCACATCATTCTCGACATAAATAACCCTGGTAACGTTTGCATCCTTCCTAACTTTTTAATTCATATACACATAAATACACTTAAAATTTTACAAGTGTATTGAATTATACAAACTTTTTTGTAACCTGCTTTTTAAGTTTTCAATAACTATTTGTTGAATAAATGAGTGACCATATTTTCATGTCATTAAACATTTTCCTGTGGCATCGTTTTTCATTGCAACTGCGCAGAATTCCACTGTGTGAATTCTCATGCTGTGTCTAGCCAGGCCCTGCAGAGCTGGGGAGGAACCAGGCAGGTGATGGACACAGAGACGCCCCGGGCAGGCCCCCTCACGGGGAACGTGCTGCCCAGCTGCTGGAAATACTGGCAGCCCCAGCCTCCACTGGCAGCCCCCTTCAGGGATTGCCTCAGCCACAGAAAGCCGCCCTCCCAGGGTGCCCCCTGAGGACTGATCACAGAGGGGCCCAATGCAGCTGCTGTAGCAGTTTCCTGGGGCTGGGGAAGGGGTGCAGCCTGGGGCTGTCCCACCTGCATGGCAGCTCGACTTTTCTCTCTGCCCAATGCCATTTCTTCCCTCTCCTTTCCCTGGGTGTTTAATCCCAAATAAATGCACTGCACACTAACCTCTGTCTCTGAGCTGGCTTCCTGGAACACTTAATCTGTGACAGAGACAGTCCTGACCTATGAGATCTCCCTAGTTTATTGATTAAAGCACCCAGTAGATTCTAACATCGCTGCCATTATCCATCGCTAAACCAGGCAAAATAAACTATGGTGCATGCCCATCATGAAATGGAGCCATTAAAAGAAGTGTGGTTTCTTTTGTTCAAATATTGGTGGGGCTGTGTGTACACATGGTCGGTCCAGAGGAAGAGAGGAGGGGAGGGAAGAGGAGGGGATGGAAGGGAGGAACTGGACATTATCAGATAATTACTTGAGCACTCTTTCTATGCTTGAATTTCTCCCAATCTTTTTGTTCCCAGATCTCTTGCCCCTTAGTCTTTGGACCACCTCAGTGTGAGTATTACTTGGTCAATGGCTATCCCCCATAAACGCAGCATATGCAAGTTATAAAAACCAAAACTAGATGAAACCCTGGACAGATATACGTGAACAGGCATGACTATGAGCAGTCAGAACAATATGTAGATTTTTAAATGCACCAAAAGCAGAATAAAGGATCGAGTCACACTAATAACAACAAATCAAGATAAAAACAAAAGTCCTGCGAGCGTGTTTGAGGGAAGCCCAGACCTGGGAAGGATCCAGAGGAGTGAGGTGCTGAGCCCTGCCGAGGTGCCTCCCTCTGTCAGAGTCACACATTCCAGAGCAGCAGAATCTACTGGCCTAAACTTCCAGTTACTTCCCACCTGGAGGCAGGCTCGCCCAGCAGCAGGCTCGGCCCATGTGAGATGCCTCCTCCCAATCACAGACCATCCTTCCCCGGTCCTGAGGTTCAAGGAACTGCTGGGGGGTAGAAAACCACCCCAGGCCAGCTGGGCTTGCAGACTGGACCAGCTCAGCACCAGAAGGAGGCTGCGAGGGCGCCGTGAGTACACTGATTTCACTCTATGAAGAAGGCAGCTGGGCTCTCAATGCTCGGGTTGCTTTCTCAGGAGGGCAGCTAGCAGCCTGAAAGGGGAGAAGTTAATTTCCTGTCATTTTTGTGTGTGTAATTTAGGACATTGTGACTATTCTGTTCTCTTTACTTTAAACTGTACATACTGCTTTCTTAAGCCCTTTGATATTGTCCAGTTCTCAAAACTAAGATTCAAGTTCTTCCGGAGCTGTTGTTATTCATTCACCCTGATTTCAACCTCAGATCTCCTCATGGAAAGACCAAGAAAACTCCAAGATCCCTGGGAGAACCTGTATCTCCGGATTAAACCTCAGGCAGGCACCTTTGTGACA